TTTTAAGAAGTAATTGGCAGATACAACTGAGTTAATTGGTTTCTATTTTTTTAAGTTCTTGGCACATGAAAAGCAGGTTGGTAATATGCCAGATTAATAAATCTATATAATAAAACAAAGTATTTGAAATTTTATCTCATACATATTTTTCCTCCAAAAACCATCACATCACATGACCTATTTCAATCACATGTTTAATCATTTAATATTTTATTAATTTATAATTTAACATAATTTTTATTTCAGACATTATACACGATAATATGCACATGTTGAGAAAATTTATCGAATTACGTATTTTTGTCTATATTTTTTAAAAAATAATAGATAAAAATAAATTTTAAATGATATAATCAAATAAATAAATAAATAAAAATTATTATTTATTGCAGTGAGATCAATTTTTTGAACACTTAAATTTTATATTTTATTATATTTTTAGATACGGGGTATCACCGGTGAACAAATACGTAAGATGTGTATGTTTCTTTCTGGATAATATTAGGTGCTTACACGGCAACAGGCGGTATTTATTATACTCAATAAAAAATTATCACATCATTTATTTGTCAAACACANTTAATTTACATTCTGAAAGATATAAATACGTATCAATGTGTACTTGAGATTAATTGTCATCTATTTTGCTATTAAAAAAATTTGAGTTAATTATAAATTATACCTCTCAAAGTTTAAATATTTCACATTTATGTTCCAAAAAGAATTTCATCTATTAATGCTCGTTAAATAGCTTTCAATTGTATCGAACATTTTCGTAAAAAGAAAATTAACACAAAAAATATTTTCATGTCGAGTTAATTGCGTTGTGGTATATATTTCACATTTACGACAATTCATATAATAATATTTATTATTTTTAAAAAATTAAAAAATATATATTTTTTGTCAATAATTCTTGTTAAATAACTATTTTCTGTCTACAGTTATGTTATTTGTATTTAAGTTTAATTTGATCGGACAATCAAAAGATTTGTGTCTAATTGTAGACAAAAAATAACTATTTGACAAGTATTATAGGCAATAATAGGTATTTGACAATTTTTTTTAAAATTTTAAAAAAAATAATTTATTGACTCGAACACGACACAAAGATGTTATGATATAATACAATTAAAAGCTATTTAATAAGTTTTAATGAATGTAATTTTTTTTGGATCATAAATATGAAATATTTAAACTTTGAGGGGTACAATTTATAATTAGTTCAATTTTTTTTAACTGCAAAATATACAGACTTAACCTCAAGTATATATTGATATGAATTTATATCGTTCAGTGTGTAAATTGATATTTTTAAACTTTTAGAATACAAATTGAGAGTTAAATGATCTTTTGAGGTACAAGCTAAAATTAGCCCTTAAATTTAAAACATCTTAATTAGGTTTGTCGGTGATAAAATTATCATATTCTATAATGTCATTCTAGTGCATGTGCATCTTTACAATGCCAAAAACGTGTAAAGATTAAAATACTAATACAAGCTAAAAAAAAACCTAGTCTTTTCAACCACTATCATTGCCCTGTTTTAGTTAGAATAGAAGTGGACCAACCTCCCGACCCACCAAAGTGGCTCACTCCAAGTCCAAGTTTATCAAGTATTTTTTTTTTCTTTTGGGCCATCTAATCAATTTGAGATTTAATTTTGATGCCGCTATGAATTTTTTTTTTTTTTTTGAATGTTACAATTCGAGTTACAAGAATAATTTTTTACATACCATATAAGTTTACATATATCTCATTAGGGGTGTCAATTTTTGACCCGACACATTAACACGACACGAATCGAACATGAAATTAATTGGTCAAACATGAAATTAAATATGTCGGTGAGAAAAAACAAGTCAACAAGTTTAAACCCGAAAAAATGCGTGTCGACTTTAGGTCAAAATCGGGGTTGACTCAATTTTAACACGAACCCGACCTAGCCCATTGTAGACTCATTTAACTGTTTATCAAAGTATATAAAAAAAAAAAAAAAACTTAATCCTAAACACATTTGCAACTGCTACTTATTTGCTACCGTTACTTATTATTTGCTATTGCTGCTTATTTGCTACCATTACTTATTGCTACTTTTTTGCTACGGCTTTTATTTTATTATGACAATATAGTTTGTCTATTATTTGAAAATTTGGAGTTTGAATGAATATTGAATAATGTACGTGAAAGAGATAAACAGGTGATTTGTGAAATAGGTTAAAAGATACATATACTAAGGTGTTAAATAGTTTGTTTTATGTGTATTAGTCTCAACACAACCCGTATATTAAATAGGTTAAACAAGTTAAGTTTGAATAATTTGTTTAATGGTCCGATCAGATTAAGATTTAGACAACTCGACATGATTAATTAATGTGTTAGGTAAGAGTTTGAGTTTTTTTAGCATAAACCCAAAATAGATCCGACACAATTAATTCTGACACGACAAATTTTGACACCCCTGCATCTCATTCTCTCCACAACTCTTACCCTTTGTTTGGTACGAAGAAAAAGTGGCTGGATGGAAAAGAAAGGATGAAAAATGGAGAGGAAGGAAAGAGTATCCTTTGTTTGGTTTCAAAGGAAAATCAAATAGAATGGAAAAGAGGGTGAAAAGTGATTCCATTCGGCCCACCATTTTTTTTCCTTCCAAAAGCAGGCGGAAAGTGGGAGAGAAGTGTTGCTAACTTTAATGAGTCTAATTAAATTATTTTTATGCCCTCACAAGGTGCTATTTCTACGTGGGCAAGATTTTTCTAGAAACATGCCACAAAGTCAATTTTTGTGTAACAAATAGTTTTTATTTTACACTTCATATTTTATCCTTTCTTTGACTCTATGTAAAGTGCAAATTTAGAAGTTATAATAAAAAAAATATAATTTATATTCAAGGGTATAATATTAGATTGAGTTTATATATTTTTTTCATTCCATTCTTTTTATTTCTTTTATTTGATAATAGAAAATTTATCCCTCAATTTTTTTATTCATCATACCAAAAAAATTAATACAATACAAACTCAATATAATATTATCCAACTAATTGATTACGACCCAATTAATTTAAAAAATTGTGTAACATGCTTTGACATTAAATCGATCAAAATTATATGTCGAGTTCGTATTATGTTATGATACCATATCGATAATCATCACTCTTATATATTAGACAATTGTTTATTGTATCCCTTACTAATCAATTTTGATAAATTTCTCAAAACACACAAACATTATATTTTAAACCATTTATTTAGTTGATTCCACAAGAAAGTGGATGAAAAAATATATTTTTTTGTACATATTTATTAATTTTTATAGTAAATTGGAGGAATTTTTAATATTTTGAAATCTTGAAAAGTCTACTTGCAATAGGAAAAAATATTTCTTATTAGTGAGGGTATAATAGTAAATTAAATTTTTATGTGTTTTCTTTCCTTTCATTTTTCCTCCGGTACCAAATAATAAAAAATTAATTCATCCAACTTTTCATCCATCGCACAAAATAAAAATGAGAGAAAGTGGTTTTTCTTTATTTACGGATGAAAAGTCTATTCATCATACTTTTCCATCTTTTCTCATTTTTCATCCCTCCTATCAAACAGACCATTAGTGATAATATTTGTATGAGCTGAGTCACTATAATGGAACTCTAGCGAATGTCTTTAATAAGAGTTGTTACTAATAATTAGTGAAGCTGTTAGTATTTGTTTTAAGAAGTAATTGGCAGATACAACTGAGTTAATTGGTTTCTATTTTTTTAAGTTCTTGGCACATGAAAAGCAGGTTGGTAATATGCCAGATTAATAAATCTATATAATAAAACAAAGTATTTGAAATTTTATCTCATACATATTTTTCCTCCAAAAACCATCACATCACATGACCTATTTCAATCACATGTTTAATCATTTAATATTTTATTAATTTATAATTTAACATAATTTTTATTTCAGACATTATACACGATAATATGCACATGTTGAGAAAATTTATCGAATTACGTATTTTTGTCTATATTTTTTAAAAAATAATAGATAAAAATAAATTTTAAATGATATAATCAAATAAATAAATAAATAAAAATTATTATTTATTGCAGTGAGATCAATTTTTTGAACACTTAAATTTTATATTTTATTATATTTTTAGATACGGGGTATCACCGGTGAACAAATACGTAAGATGTGTATGTTTCTTTCTGGATAATATTAGGTGCTTACACGGCAACAGGCGGTATTTATTATACTCAATAAAAAATTATCACATCATTTATTTGTCAAACACACAAGATGTCATTTCGAAAACGATTAAAATATTTTTATTTTTAGAGAGACCAAAATAAATTCATGATTAAGTTAAAATTTTTGAAAATTTGACGGAATGTTTTAACTAATGTTTCAAAATATTTTATAAGTAAATTTGTAAAAAAAATTTTGTTAATTTTTATTTTTTTTAAAAAATATTTTCAAAACTTTTGTATTTATTAGGTGACTAAAACAATGTAATGAATTTTTTTTTTATTCTTATTTGATATGTTAAAAAAAAAATACGATAATAATTAATTGAAAATGTTTAATATTTTATGCACACGAGAGTACAACCATGTTCAATATTTAATGTTTTGAAAATTTTTTGGGGTTAGAGTATGAGAGATTTATCATTTATGAATTTTTTAGTGGATAATCTATTTTTAATTAAATCGGAGAGAAAATTAATAGAAATATGCATAAATTGATTAAAAAAAACGGGAGTACTGACACGTAGTGCTTGTTAAGCGTCGAATAGTTTCTAGTTTCTAATAAATGATTAACTTAGGTGGTCAGGGCCCACTAATTTGTAGGCACCAGCGTTGACATGACTCAGCAACGTGGAACCTATGTGTCAAAGCAATCATATATCTGACACGTGGACAAACAAATAACAGGTGGCACACATGAAGAGGCTTCAATCCTCTCTATAAAGGTCTTACCACTCCTACGTTCCGTATCAAACCAATGAGGCTTTCTCTCTCCTATTCTCTCTCTTAATCCACAAATTCAGTCAATCTTATTTATCCATTTCCTTGCAATTCGTTCTTCCTCTTATCTCTCTGTTGAAGTTGCTTGTTTTTTAATCGATTCTTGAGTTCAAATTTTCTTGGGAAAATGAAGGAAAATATGGGAAACCCATTGCACCTGACTTCTGTCAATCACATCTCTCTTGTCTGCAGATCATTGGAGGAATCCATTGATTTCTACAAGAATGTTCTTGGGTTTGTCCCTGTGAGGAGGCCTGGCTCATTCGATTTTAATGGAGCATGGTAAATTCATGGAAACACCAAAAAACTTGGAAATTTGTTGTTGATTTTTCATTCTAAAATGTTTGTTTTTTCGGATTTGTGTAGGTTGTTTAGCTATGGAATTGGAATACATCTATTGCAATCTGAAGACCCAGAAAACATGTCCAAGAAAACGGAAATCAACCCCAAGGACAATCATATTTCTTTCCAGGTAAATTCTGATGGTTCTTATCGAAGATTTAGTTGGTTTTATGATTCAATGTCTTAGGTTTTTCGATGTTATTAATGCAAGGGATCAGTATATGATTGTGAACAAAACGAACAGCAAAGCAACTAGATAGAGACAACATAGTATTTTTTTCGATTCTATTCATTTATAATCATTTTTGAGCTCCATTTACCTGACATGAAAGTGATAAGGGGTCACGACAGAGAAACAAGCAATTTTTTGTCTGAATTAAAAGTTGCAATTAAAATACATAGATCAATGGGTTCTATCAATTTTTTCAGTAAGATCCACTCATCCAAAGTTCATATGGGCTTAATTTGAGTTTTAATTTTTGATATTTATTTGGGTTATATAGCATTTTTTGAATTAAAATTCAGGTCTAATCTCAGATGTTTCTATATTTTTTTTTTATCGTTGATGATGATGTTTTTGTCAGTGTTGATGATTCTCAACGAGAGAAGCTACGCGTTTTAAGACATAGACCCACTCCTACCTTGTGTAGGGTAGGGGAACTGATTATTTAAGATAATTGGGGTGGACTTTGTCACATTGCAAGTAGCTTGGGATGACAAATTAACAATGAACTGAATGCATCATTTGTGGTTTACCCAAGTCTCGAACTACGAAATCAGTCTCTTTATATGTGTGGGATTAGAATCTCTACATCGGCCCGAGACAATCAATAGTGATTGAGTAAAAATGCATGTGTCCTGTCTTGTGGTTGAATACCAGTTACTGTTTAAATTGTTTAAATGATCAAAATTGAAATTTTTTTTTTTTTGGCAGTGTGAGAGCATGGGTGCAGTGGAGAAGCTGTTGAAGGAAATGGGAATTGAATACAAACGGCAAAGGGTAGAGGAAGGAGGGGTTTATGTGGATCAACTGTTCTTCCATGACCCAGATGGGTTCATGATCGAGATATGCAATTGTGATAACTTGCCTGTCATACCTCTGGCTGGAGAGATGGTTCGATCATGCTCTCGTGTCAATCTCCAGATAATGCAGCATCAGCAACAGGTCCATGTTGTCCAGCCTTAGGTTCAATTCAATTCATTTCTCATTGATATCAATGAGATCTTTCTGTTTTATTTTCATTGTTTGTTGTTCTTTTTTGCGTGTTTGATTGCTTTGGATTCTTGTAACAAGACAATTTGTGTAATGAGTTCAATTGAGATTTTGTTGAAAATCGCTACTAAAGTGATTTTGGATATATTCAATTTGTCCCACCATTTAACTCAAAAAATGGGTTGGACATGGACACATCTCTAATTCAGTTGAGGCAATCTGAATTAGACACGTTTCTAAGTCAATTCAAATGATTAGAGATTGGCCTCGGTGAAGATCGAGGTGGTATTATTTTCAGATGAGACCAGAATCTCACGAGCTTTGTATTTTGTACGTATTACTCGATACAGTTTTAGGACACTGTAATCCGGACGTCTCAATATATATCTTCATGGCCGATGTGGGATGAACTGGCTTGGGTTAGATCAGGCTGTGACTAGGTCAAAATTTGTATGCTTTCATTGGTCGGCTGTGCCAGCATGAAAGTTGTTCTTGTGAATATCATCCCATGAGCTGTTGAGGATGTGGCTATTGAGCATTGATTACTGCTATGTACATGGGCTAAAAAAGTATGGCAAATCTACCCTTTGAGTCTTCTCATTGACCGATACGAGATAAGGAGAATGGTGGACTGACTTATGAATCAGCTTCAAGATAAAGACAATCAAGCGATGATAGCCTACGTATCTTGGTTTTCTTGGAAGGCAAGAAATAAATGGATATATAAACATGTTATTTAGACTTAAAAATTTAATTTAATTTAATTTGTTGACATAATGATGTGATTTCAGTAAAATTATTAGATTAACACCAAATTTTAATGTTTGACGAGTTACACAATCAATTTAAAGGTCATAGTGAATTAGGTTCTAATAGTATTACTCTATAAACATTGCGAACCAAACAGTAGAAATGTTGTTAATAGAGCTGTGATGGAAATTGAAGAAATTCATAGTAGTAGCGAAAAGCAGGTATAGAAAAATATTCTAAAATGTGCAGAACCTAACTGGAAGCCTCCACCCAAGAAGTGGGTAAAGATTAATTGTGATGGAGTATATCAAGCGAAGCCTAAGGAAGGAGCCTATGGAATTGTTGTGCGAAATCATGAGGGTTTATGGATCACTGATGAAGCACGAACATTTAGGGCCTCTTTTGCTATAGTCACAGAAGCATATGTAGTAAGAAGAGTCTCCAGAATGGCACTAGAGCATGGGTACCAAGCGATAGTGATTGAGTCTGATGCTAAGTACCTTATAGATTCATTGACTAAGGGTCCTGAAGCTCCTATCAGGGAGATAACATCTATCCAGAAGGATATTTGGCAGTATGTTCAGCAAATACTTTTGGTCCAGCTCCAGTTCGTGAGGAGATCACAAAATATGGCGGTCCATACACTAGCAACTCAAGCTAGAAGAGGAATTTCCCTCCCCCAAGAGTTAGTAAACCCCCTAAATTTTCTTATGAATGTACTTAGGAAGGAGGAAAGGAATGGTATAGGTTGACAAATATATTCTATAACAACAAGTTGGAGTATTAATATAGAAGTTATCTTCAAAAAAAATAAAAAAAAACCTTGTGGGCTATGTACACCATGTTGAGCCATCACTTTCTGTATATATATTTTTTTGTCAGTGTCGTTGGATAGTTATAAATTTTAATATTAAATAGAGACTACTTCTAATCTAATAACTACATTGAGTTAGATCTCCCAATTTGGCGAATGACAATTGCAATTGCATTGGTCGTAGGTCTTTCCCAAAATTTTCATATAATAATTGTTGAACACTATATAATTAAAAAGTTTAACCTATTAAAGAAGGGTGTAACATAAGTATTTATTTAATACTTTCCCTCCCGGCCGACAAATCTTCCACAATTTTCATTTAGTAATTGTTGAACACTATCTAATTAAAAAGTGTAAGTTATTAAAGAAAGGGTCTAACATAAGTATTTATTTAACACTCTGCTCACATGTGACCTTTCTTTGGATGGTTCATCCATGTTAATTTTTTTTTTCTTTTTTTGGCTGTTTAATGTATGAAAAACTCTACTTGTGTATATATTTTTCACGAGCAATGCTATAAAACCTAAAAAATTATAACTCAAGTGCATATCATCACTCAGATGAGTGGATCTTATTAATTTTATCAGTGAAGCCCACTCATCCCACACTTATTCAAGAAATGATATGCATTTGAGTTTTAACTTTTGAATTTCATTTGAATTATATAGCATTTTTCATTTTTCACACTCAACCTATGTTATAATGGTTGGTCTTATATAGACCAATGAGAAGATCTACAAAAACAAGTTGAATTCAAAAAGAGAAAAGATTCAAAAAAGAAAAGATTAGTTGTTGGATAATCTTTATCTTTGATACAAGGAAGGAGATCTTGTGTAATTTGAACACAAGACTTTTAAACTTTGATAACATCTATATAATAAAGTAGTTTACAATTCCAATTTCAAAAGATAAATAAAATGACTTTTGTTATTCGCGGTTGAGATTGTTTTAAATTTTACTTTGAAGTTAATCTAACGACTAATATTAACACCCTAAATTTAATAGGAAAAATAGACCTCTAAGGGTGTGTTTGAAGTGACTTTTTAAAAATACTTCTAAAATTATTTCTTATAAATACTTTTTTAAAAAAATAGTATTTGAAACCACTCCACCACTACCACTACTTTTACCACCACTGTCACCACCACGATCATCACCCCCACCGCTATAACCACCACCATCATCGTCGCTGCCCTCGTCGCCACCACTATCGCTGCCACTACCACCGCCACCACAGTCATTGTCACCCACCACAATCATCATCATCTCCTACCACCACCTCTCATCCCCACTACAAACCGATGCTTAAATTTTTTTATCTCTTCTCTAAATTTGTGATTTGATTTTGGATATCAGTACAAATATATTTATTGTTTATCATTTTTTATTACTCTGTACCTTCTGGCACAGATAATAACTAGTATTAAATATCATCTTATACATTGACGTGTTTAAAATGAGAAAGCATAAGTGTTTACTAATTGGAATTTACGAAACAAACACTGTTCAAATCAAAGCCCAAAAATGTCATTCTGCTCAACCAAATTGTCAAATAAAAAGAGTGGAGCTGTTTATTCCTACGGCAGGATTACTCAATGAAAGGGTTTATTCTCTTACTATATAGCCTATGAATTATAGCACTATGTTTAACATAGAGGTTGTGGGTGATAATGAAGATAACCCAAAAGAGACATCTGATGCACCTAGATAACACAAGGCAATTACTACGATACATTTCGAGAGTTATCTGATCCTTTGGGATTTTGTATCTTATCACTAGGAAATTGATGGCATAGTCCATATAATAGAATAGAATATATGTTGCTCTTTACTCGTGTCATAGATTCGCAAATAACCATGCTGAGTAGAAATGTGCCTATCAACCCTGGCAAATTATGAATAATTCCAAATCATAAGAGAAAATCAGCTCTATGTGAAAAATGTGTTTTGCAATAATGTCTAGTTCCTCGGGCAATTGGCGACAGCATAAGTTGGTTGGTTGGTTGGATCAACAGAAGAGTGAGAGAATTTGAAACAACAACACAAACAATATCCTCTTGATTCGGGGCATACCATATGATATTCCACATGCCAGCACTCGGATTTCGTTTTTTTTTAGTAAATAAAAGAAATTTTATTGAATAGGACATCATCAAACTCTTACAATGAAAGGGGAAAACATAAGAAAAACCCCTTGAAACAATACCACAATCAAATTTGGAGCAGAACAAATAACAAATCACTACACACACCAAAAAAAAAAAACACAATACAAAGTAGTATGTTCCCATTTGATTGGGAGGGAAGTCTCTTTTTTGAGCACAAATACAATAAAGATTGGTAGGTAGCCTATGTTCCTCTTGCTAGCATTTTCTCGTAATTCTCTATAGAATCAAGCCTCTGGATCACCAGCTCTTGCCTGAATTTTCTAATAAAGGCCTCTGCGCTTTGATTGATGTCTTCCGATACCTTCCTCTCCATCCTTTGGGGTGTCGCCGCCTTTTTCACCGTGGCACCACCACCGGACTTCCCCGCAACATTCTCTCTGCTGCATCCCACAGCCTGTCTTTCTCTTTCTGCTTCCTCTAAAACCTTGGGGTGGCGGTACAGAGGCGACAAGTTGCTCTTCATTTTGGCTTTTGTTATGTCCAAAATTGATCTATCTATAGCATATATATGTGCCCCCTAAGCTTACGTAGATTCCCTTATTTGTAGAGGAGAGAGAGAGAGAGTGATAGATAACGCGGTATGGGTGTGACCAGAAGATTGAGCTTGAGCTAGGTAGCTTCAATGGCCGTCTTTCTGGACTCTGGAAAAACGGAAGAAGCCATAACCACAAGTTAGACAAGTTTTGGACCACCGAAAGAATTAACAGTTATGCAATAATATTTTAAAAAATATTACACAATTCAAATGAAATTTAAATTGAATGAGCGGATCCCACTAATAAAATTAATGAAACCCATTTATCCAAAAGATAATATACATTTAAGTTGTAATTTTTTATATTTTATTTGAATTGTGTAGTATTACCCTTTTATTTTTGTTTCATTATCATCTTGGTTGATCTTAATAGTTCAAACGATAGCGTTGACTTTTCAGCATAAAGGAAGAGAGAGAATAAACGAAGGGAAAATATTTATTTTCATCTAATTTAGAACCTAATTAAATTACCGTAGTTAAATAAAAAGTAGACGTTATCAAATCTTAGAATTCACAATTAATTTAATGATTATAATAAATTATATTCCTAATGAGATCATCAACTTATTTAGCATATTGCTCCGGCTTGAAGATGGACTTAACCTAGTTACACGGTGAAATACTCTCTAACATCTCAAAAATAGGGCTCAAAGGTTATAATGAGTTTGTAAGTATGAAAATAATAGTTAGTTTTCAAGGTGCTATTTGATATTTTTAGAGTAAAATGGATTAAGTGATACTTGTTTTTGTTCACATATAAAAGGGGTTTTCGTAATTAACATTCTAATTTACAACTAAATATTCAATATAACAATTACACCACAGTGCACTAACTTTTTTCCGCAGGCTGCAATCCTCCAATTACCTATTCTATAAATAGAAGATCCATTTCACAATTTGTTGGGATCCATTAGTCTTACATAGGTTATACATAATTGGTCGATTATACCATGCGACGATGATGATATGCTATATTAACTATTTTCTCTCATTTTATTTAACTAAAAAACAAAGATTTTTTTGCTGTGAATATAATTTTTTAGACTTATTTGAGAAAAAGTGTATGGATAAGTTGTTTACTTTATTAAGTTCAATTTTAATAAAACATATTGTGTTTAAGTACAAAATTCAAATAAAATCAAAACTGTTTTACCTAAATACCTTCCCTTAAATTTTTTTTTATCAATATGAGAGAAAGAGAGAGAGTAATAGAGTAATAAATACATTTTTAATCTTTTTTCAAAAAAATGCACTTATGACTAAATAAATTTCTTTAATGTAGTTTAGATCNCGATGTTCAAATTAATTTATACACAAATATAGTGAATCTTTCAAGTTACCCAAGTTTTACCACAGTTTTTTCTTGGACCATAAAGATGAACTAAAGTTTTAAATGACAGCATGGCAATTGTATACCTAAATAGAGTAATTGTTAGGTAGATCGGCATTCACACGTTCGTGTCCAGAAGAATCAAAAAGAATAGGTACATTGCACCAAGTGATAGATATTGGATGACAGCTTGTCCACCATAATGGGGTGATTAGATTAGCTTATGGAGGTGGCTAAGTATTGAAATGGCCAACTAGTTTGGCTTAATATGTATTCACAAGCATTTTGTTTAGACAAAATTCGAGTCCATTTTTTGAGATGAATCCATGACATGACAAGTTTTGGACCGCCGAAAGAATTAACAGTTATGCAATAATATTTTAAAAAATGNCTTCAATGGCCGTCTTTCTGGACTCTGGAAAAACGGAAGAAGCCATAACCACAAGTTATAGGAAGTTACGCACACGCATGTGGGTTTAACTTTAAACTATTCTTTTAAGCATGCGATTTGGTCGGAGGTTCACAAATTAAAATAATTGCGGCTTAAGGAATGGATTTGGACCGGAAGTTACACATGGGGTGCCATTGTTGCCGAGTCAAGTATCCTATACCTTTTTTTTCTTTTTTTTTGGGTGAATAATGACTTTTAAGTTATATTAGTCGTGACGTAAATGGTGTAATTTTAATTCAATCGAAAAAAAAATTAATCGAAATATGCGTAAATTAATTTAGACACCATTGACCGTTGAACTAAAAAAAAAGNGCCCATGGCCATTGCTGCATTCAGTCCAATTGGGGAATTTTAGGCAACACAATCGTGGTAAGTGGCCCAGTGGCACTCCTCATAATTCTTTCATCTTTTCTGATATAGACGCTTCTGTTTCAGTACAGAACCAGGGTATAGCCGGCGATGCAGAGAGTTCAAAGATTCACCCTCTGTCTCTTAACAATACCCCTCTCTGGAAAATGCTTTGAAACCTTTACACACACTACATGTCGGAACATCCCAGCAATCCCATTCATTCAAACCCTAAAACCCATATTCTCAGTCAAGAATTCATACCCGAGACCCACCTGCAATGTTAGCTTGAGAACTCAGAGAAACTACAGTTCTACTTCAACAGCTAGGGCTGGTTGGTTTCTGGGTATGAGAGAGGAGAAGCAGGATTTGCCAGATATTGTCAAAGCCGGCGACCCGGTTCTTCATGAACCGGCCCGAGAGGTCTCACCCGAAGAAATCGAGTCTGAGGGGATCCAGAAGATCATAGATGATATGGTGAAGGTAATGAGGAAAGCACCTGGGGTTGGTCTTGCTGCTCCTCAGATTGGTATCCCGTTGAAGGTTGGTTTTTAACCTTTTTACCACGAAAATATAGTTTTGTGCAATGCACATTCATTGGTTTGTTTTTTGGGGAAATTTAAAGGCGGATCCCAATAAATTTATTTTGTTTTAAGTCCGTCAAAGAAACTTATTTATTATGAAAATTATTTTTTATTAATTTTACCAAATTATCTTTCCCTTTAAAAATGAAGAAAAATTAAAAATTAAAAATTTAAGAGTTTAACTAATATTAAAAAATTTTCATATTCATATTCAGGTTAGGACTATATCTCTCATATATATGTTTATAATAATATTAAAAATAAAAAATAATAACATTCAAATACAAAAAATATTATTATTTAAACACATTAAATAATACCATTTAAATACAAAAAAATAATAAAATTTAAATATAAAAAAATAGTAACATTCAATATTAATATTTTAAAAAAATAACAATAATAACATGTTCAAGAAAAATAGTAATATATTCAACAAAAATAGTAACATATTTAATAAAAATAGTAACATGTTCAAAAAAAATAAATAGCAATATAGAACATTGAACAAAATTGAAAATAAAAATAGTAGCATTCAAACCCATAATCAGAGGAAGAAGTCTCTAATTATTCAGCATTAAAAAAAGTAACACTAAAAAAAAAATAACATACTCAATAAAAAATAGTAATATAAAAAAAATAATAACATGGTCAATTAAAAAATAAAGTAAAAAGAATTGAAACTACAATTAAGATAGTAACATAGGAGGTTTTTCTCTTCGTAAAGTGAATATATACCATGCATGATGACATTAAAACAGTCAGACCCCAAAAATATTTAGTAAAAATGATATATTTAACGAGAGAGAGAGGATATGAATTTCAATTTCAATTTAGGAGTGAATTAAGAGATAGTAATTTCTAATTTAAGAAACTAATTTAAAGTTATNCAATGTTAGCTTGAGAACTCAGAGAAACTACAGTTCTACTTCAACAGCTAGGGCTGGTTGGTTTCTGGGTATGAGAGAGGAGAAGCAGGATTTGCCAGATATTGTCAAAGCCGGCGACCCGGTTCTTCATGAACCGGCCCGAGAGGTCTCACCCGAAGAAATCGAGTCCGAGGGGATCCAGAAGATCATAGATGATATGGTGAAGGTAATGAGGAAAGCACCTGGGGTTGGTCTTGCTGCTCCTCAGATTGGTATCCCGTTGAAGGTTGGTTTTTTTCCTTTTTACCACGAAAATATAGTTTTGTGCAATGCACATTCATTGGTTTTTTTTTTTGGGAAATTTAAAGGCCGATCCCAATAAATTTATTTTGTTTTAAGTCCGTCAAATAAATTTATTTATTATAAAAATTATTTTTTATCAATTTTATCAGATTATCTTTCCCTTTAGAAATAAAGAAAAATTTAAAATTTAAGTGTTTAACTAATATTAAAAAATTTTCCATCTCATATGTTTTTATATTCATATTCAGGTTAGGACTATATCTCTCGTATATATGTTTATAATAATGTTAAAAATAAAAAGTAGTAACATTCAAATACAAAAAATATTATTATTTAAACACATTAAATAATACCATTTAAACACAAAAAAATAATAACATTTAAATATAAAAAAATAGTAACATTCAATATTAACATTTTAAAAAAATAACAATAATAACATGTTCAAAAAAAATAGTAACATATTCAACAAAAATAATAACATATTTAATAAAAATAGTAACATGTTAAAAAAAAAAATAGCAATATAAAACATTGAACAAAATTGAAAATAAAAATAGTAGCATTCAAACCCATAATCAGAGGAAGAAGTCTCTTATTATTCGGCATTAAAAAAAGTAACACTAAAAAAAAATAACATACTCAATAAAAAATAGTAATATAAAAAAAATAATAACATGGTCAATTAAAAAATAAAGTAAAAAGAATTGAAACTACAATTAAGATAGTAACATAGGAGGTTTTTCTCTTCGCAAAGTGAATATATACCATGCATGATGACATTAAAACAGTCAGACCCCAAAAATATTTAGTAAAAATGATATATTTAACGAGAGAGAGAGAGAGGATATGAATTTCAATTTCAATTTCGGAGTGAATTAAGAGATAATAATTTCTAATTTAAGAAACTAATTTAAAGTTACTTTCAAGGTCTTTACGGCTTCTATAATTGAACATAATAACACTGTTAAGGATATTTTTAAGATTTAAAAAAATAGTTGACTTAACTACTTATTAGGAAGAAAAAAAAAGAACTTATCACCAAATAAGATTCTTTGACGGACTCAAGTCATTGTAAATCCATCCAGGAAGATCCAGTTCCAATTTTCACATTTTTTTTTTTGGGCATTTATAACATTGACTTGTTATAATTTTTTTTTTTTTTTGACTTGTTATTAGTTAGAGTGACATTATGTAAACATAATATTCTTTGTTATAAATTAGATTAACATAATATAAACAATATAAAGTTTGACCTTGCTTAATGCTCACTTCTGACTAATTCTCTCTTGGGTCTCTCGTGGCCTGGCCAAGGAAATGCCAAGGTTTGAACTTAGAATCATGGTCTGGCCCCTTGGTTTTGTTTCTCTTTCATTTAGCCTTCCTGTAATATTATAGAAGAGAGTGAAAATTGGAGTAAGTGTGGCAGGTATGCCCTTGGAATGCAATTAGGTAAAAATTAGTTCAAATTTTGGACTAAATGTTCCCTGGTTGTAATTTTAAGACCTCTATTCAATGCTTTCAAACTCGATCTAAGAGTACTTTTTATGGCTGCGTCCAATGGTACAGTGGGAAAATAACTCTTAGTGTGCAGAAAACAGAAACATCGAACAAGAGATTATGTTCTGTGGCAGTTTTGAAAAATTTGTGGTAGATAATGTTGGCGGTTGGAAAAATCTTTATCCAAGTGAGACTTTATGGTTACTCTTTACCTAGAATCTGCATTAGAGTTGTTGTAATTATTCAAAAGTTTGATGAAGAACTGTTTCAATTGATGGCATGCTATCTTTCCAATAAAATGAGACATGCTATGATATATGAAAACGCCATCTTTAATTGGCAGGTTTTGCCATTTCCACCTTGACAGATAATTGTTATGGAAGACACAAAAGAATATATTAGTTATTCCACGAAGGAAGAGTCAAAAGCACAGGATCGGCACCCTTTTGATCTTTTGGTATGCAATGATACATTTTATATATAATTGACGCCTCACTGTTCCTTAATATCATAATCTATGGTTCTTTTAGTGCAGGTTATTCTGAATCCAAAGCTTAAAAAGAAGGGCAACAAAACTGCTCTGTTTTTTGAAGGATGCTTGAGGTAAGAATAAGATGCAGGCAACTAGTTTCTGCTGCAATCTAATGGTAATATGTTGGACCCTTGATTATTTTTGTTGTGATTATGATGTATTTTGCAGTGTTGACGGATATAGGGCAGTTGTGGAGCGATACCTAGATGTTGAGGTTACGGGTTTTGGTCGAGATGGACAGCCAATCAAACTTGTAGCTTCAGGCTGGCAGGCCCGCATTTTGCAGCATGAATGCGATCATCTAGATGGAACTCTCTATGTTGACAAGATGGTCTCAAGAACTTTTCGGACTGCAGAGAATGTGGACTTGCCTCTTGCTGTTGGGTGCCCCAAGCTGGGTGTTCACTAGCTCATGGGTTATTTTGTGATGAACTTAGTATTTCTTCTAAGGGCAATAGAGTATTTTAGATGCTAGGACAAGTTTTGGATGATTGCAGTGGAAAATTTGTACTCATCGAAGATCATCTCGCTTCATACAGACTTCATACAGATTGAGGCGCTACCTTTCGAGACTCAAGAGGACTTCATTAACTTTCTCTGGCAGATAGTCANCTAGGACAAGTTTTGGATGATTGCAGTGGAAAATTTGTACTCATCGAAGATCATCTCACTTCATACAGACTTCATACAGATTGAGGTGCTACCTTTCGAGACTCAAGAGGACTTCATTAACTTTCTCTGGCAGATAGTCTATACCTATTCGAGTCCTTATGAACTTAGTCTGAGTTGCAAGTCAGTGTCCATTTGGATCAAGCTCCTCCATTTTTAACAGTCTCTTTCGTGTAAAGCCACGTCTTTCTTTTACTTGGCAACACCCTCAAAATAGTGGATTTAGTAGGCCCAAATAAACTAGATTTCTTGTGGAATGAGAAACTGGGAGCTGCTTCCTTACTTTCAGACTAGTGTTGATCTTCAGGTTGTTTATTCACAGCCTCATTCATGTTTAACAATGCTCAATTCAAATCCCCACACAAAAGCATTGCCAAAATAAAAAGGACTTGAGCTAGTTTAACCAATCTTTGAAAACATGCATGTCAATCACTTAGTGATCTGCTACCATCACATGATCTAATATAAGGAAAATAGAATGCAGACTTTCCATATTACTCTCTTCCTTCTTCACAACAGTGTCCTTTGTTTTTATTTTCTTCTACTCTGCAGAAAAACTTCAGTAGTTTTGGATGGCATCCATCAGATATACAAACAGAGGATTTACTCAATTAATAAAATATATGAATAGTATCTGAATTTAACACAGTTAAGTATAGGGTCCATATACAACAATAATCAGCAGATACATGCAACAATAATCAGCAGATAAAAGAACCAACATTCGCTGTAGGAATTTGCATCTGGACTCTCTTCTTTAGTGGGATTAGATCTTAAATGGTTGTCTTTTCTGCATGCAGGAAAGTGTAGCGATTGTCAAATGGACCAAATAACAGAGCTAGAAGGAACTCTCTGCTCGATGATGCTTTCACCACATGAGAAGCAAGGAGGGGGGTACATCAGTCCAGCGCTTGTGCCATGGGCTTCCCAACAAAAAGATCTTGTAGTTTCCCCAGAGTATGATACAAGTTGAATATCTTCTAAATATATCCCTTGACATGGGGAGCTATCACTGCAAGCAAATCGTATTGCTACCTCTGTAGCTGAAGTTCCTTTGATACCCATGAAGGATATATTCTCAACACTAACAGCCAAAGTCTGCAGTCTCATTGCATAATTAATGTTCAAAATTCTATTACACTTAACATACATCATTAACTATTCACTTTGGATACTGAATTTGGGCAGTTTCCCATATACAGTTGACGTCTTTAAATTAATGAAACTTTGGCATGGGCCCCAATCTAGGGCTCAATTTGTTTCACTACGAAACCAAAGAAAAGTTGTCTATGTGCTGCTAACTAAGGTGCCAACTTAATCGGAATAACAATTACACATTTATATTTGTAATAGAATTTTATAAGTTTTAACTTAGTTCACTAGAAATGACTCCATTAGAAGAAAAAAATAGAATTTCATGTCCCTTTAAAGTGGATTAAGCACTCAAAATGGGGAAAGTAATATTTTCTACTGCACCAAAGAGGAAGGGCTTCAGTTTCAGAATTTTAACAAAAACAACCTGACTAACTTGAAGCATTTTCTTTGTTCTTTTTGTTTGGGTGGTAGGGGAAGAGCAAACATGCACACAAAATCCTTGAAAAGGGAAAGCACTACATTCTATCCCTTGTATTGTTTTCTTTCCCTGAAATTAATGCTATATATCATCCACACTCAAAACTCAAACTTTGGAGCAAAGTCCTTACCTGGTTTGGACATGGCAGTAGTGAATCACAGTAATATTGATCAATAATAATGGGATTTGAGACATTTTCCATCCTCACGTTCTGAAAAGTAATCTTTCTGGCGAAACCACTACCTCCCTAATCAAGAGAACGGGGGGGGGAGGAAGGGGGACGGGAGTTTGTTGCATTTAGTACCAACAAAATCATTTCTCTAACAGATAGTGAATACGTGGTGCATGCACACTCACGCGCATATTGAAAAAGAGTGGTAAACAAGATTACCTGCCATGATTTGATCCGCAACCCATTCTCGGTGTTGGAGATAATTGCTCCTTTAACACTAACATCGTGCACTTGATCCCAGGAGTTTGATTTTCCCAAGCTTCCAATACTGCCAGGGACAGATAATTAGTTACCAACTTCCAAGTAATTGAAAGTTGAAAATATTTTACCTTATGCCATGGCCTGGTCCGCAGGCAATGTTTCTGATACGAATTCTTGAGGAATTGCTGACTATAGATATGCAGTCATCCCCTGGAGCGAGTTTATGAACAATTCAGTAGAAGACCAGATTCTCTAACACATTAGGAAAGTCAATCCAAGATTCAAGTAATCATATAAAGATTGGTAACAAGAAAACCAAAACTTAGCAAAAACAGAGGAGCAACTGGAAAAGAGGATCTGGAAGCTTACCCTTCCAACTTCAAAGAATTTTAATTTAACATCAAAGCGCCAGTACATAAAACACAACACCAAGAAAATGCAAAGCAAATGGAAAACTTTTCCTCGTCGCCAAAAAACAATCAGATAAGATACGGTTGTCGCCATTGTGAATGTTTTTTTTTCTAAAGGTGTCATATCATGGCATTGGCTAAGCCAGCCTGGAACTTGAAAGAACTAGAGAACATCTTGCCTTCAGAGGCATTTGAATACCACGGCCCTCCAGCAAGGGTGCATGATGGACCACAGTCATAGATGGATTCATTGCATCAATAACATTATTGAAATGTAGCTATTTTCCTGCACTGAAATACCTAATTGGCATTGGAAGTGAGAAAGGATCTTCCCACATCCTTGCTCATTGATAGTCTTATCTCCAGTTCAAGAAAGATTTTAAATGGTCTCTTGCTAGTTCTGTAAACTTTTCAGGACATGTGTTTCGAACCCCCCCCCCCTCTCTTCCCCAAAAAATAAAGAAACCATAAGCCCTTCTCATTGTGAACTAGATTTATTTGTGGCTCTCATGTTAAATTTCTAAAAGTGATTTCATACTTACANAGCCCTTCTCATTGTGAACTAGATTTATTTGTGGCTCTCATGTTAAATTTCTAAAAGCGATTTCATACTTACAGGATCCACCAACATTCCTAAGAGCATTTTGAGTTTATTAAGTTGCGACCACAAATAAATTAACCAAACAGCAAGTATATAATACCCTTCTTTCTTCTTTCTAAGTGCAACTTGCCACGGGCAGTCAGGCACAAACCAAAATAGAAAACATACATGACCCCATGCATGTTTTTAAACATATAAAGTAGCACAGCTGAACATGAACCCTTCTATAGAACAACCAACCTGTTCTAATAATGCTATCCTTGACTTCAACATAAGTAGATGCGCTTATGTGGATTCCGTCGGTATTAGGGCTTGAAGTAGGTGCTAAAACTCTGAGAAAGGATGCCACAACCCGAATACAGTGAGTGAATGACATGTGCATTTGTTGACTATTTACCATCATAATATTCCTGACTATCAAATTCTTGCATCTATGGAAAGTCATGGCCTGCAGTGTAATTAGTTCAACATAGCAAGAACAAAAACACTTCTATTACATTTTTGGTAAGTATAAAGAATGACATTGGAACTCATAACAAAAGCAAACATCAATAAAACAAATCTGAAACTGATTGTACTGTTAATAGAACAAAACAGCACTGACCGTTGGAGCATGTCGACATGGCTGCCAAATGAATTGAAGCTAGTTTTAGATATCAGATATAGGGACAGAAAACTTGACATGGACATATAGATTTAGAGATGCAAGACAACATTACATTAGTTATGTTAATCTTGCAAGACCGTGCCCACCATTCCCAGCCCATGCCGTTCACTGTCCCTCCCCCTTTTACTGTGAGGTGCTTCACGCAATGAAAATAGAGCCATTTATGTGTATCAAGTCCATCCCAGACATCAGGATCTTTAGGAGCAACAATAGCACCAGAGATCTACAGTAATTGCAACGGTAATCATGCCCCCATTAAACAAAGTATGTTTTAACAGAAACCTACTTAATTTAAACATGGCTCTTACCCTTAAAGTCAACTTTGATCGGCAAGGACCAGCAAAATCAATTGGTCTAACCAAATAAGAATTTCCAGCAAGAAGTACAATTTTCACCCGTGATGATGAAGAACAAGCTATCTTCCAAACATCTTTGAAAGCCTAATGACATAGAAGAAAAATGAGATGAGGAGATTATTTTCTTTACCATACAAAATTACATGCTAATTTGTGCTGATTAGTTCTGGCAAAAGGGTTCTCAAAATTATCTCATTTATCATAAATTAAGATATATATGTTTGACATAAGTGATGAAATAGTCATTCATTAAGAACAAGTAATAAGCCCATATTAGGAATTCTGTACCAATGCTTGATAATTTCAATAGAAAAGAGAACCACTCCAATTGAAACTGAATTTCTACGGGCAATCGCAATATCACTCGAAGACAACAAAAGGGTATTATTCTAATCGCTTAAACTCTCGAAAGCATCACAAAGTACCCCTAATCTTCTCCAAACTGTAATACATCTGAATAAGTAAAAGAACCTCCATTTTCTAAATCAGAAACAAGACATACAGCAATTAACACCTGAAATACGTTCGACGTAAATACTGCTAAAAGTAGTGAAATAATAATGTTTGAGGTACCTTTGTGTCGTCAGTGAGACCATCCCCTATGGCACCATAATCATTGACATAAAGAACTCTCCTTGATCTGGTTCTGTTTCTAAAAGACACAGATTGTGGGAGTTGCAACAGAGAATCAAACCCCTCTACACTTGTCAGATTTGAGAATAGATAACTAGAATATATCATAAATGTAATAATACAGACTGAACGAGAAGAAGCAAAATAAGAAGATCTCAGCTTCCCCATACTCCGTCAGACTCTGGGCGTGAGAGAGCGAGCTTTCCAGAATTTATCCTACTACTCGGGAATTTAGACTTTCATGATGATTTCACAATCCCAACCTCGTCTCTGTTTTTATAGGGTAAATGCCCTCTTAATACAAAAATTCTCAATTTATCTTTATTTTTTTTTTTTTATNATTTATCCTACTACTCGGGAATTTAGACTTTCATGATGATTTCACAATCCCAACCTCATCTCTGTTTTTATAGGGTAAATGCCCTCTTCATACAAAAATTCTCAATTTATCTTTATTTTTTTTTATTTTATTCACTTAAAAAATAAAAAATATTACAATGTGGGATATATATATATATATATATATATATGCATATTTTTCGGTCATTCACCTACGATTTAATACAAAACATATGAACAATTAAATGAAAATAAGACGATAATCTATATTATAATATTTTTTATTTTTTAAGGACAAATTTATAATTTTTATATGTTTCAGAAGATAAAATGTANATATATATATATATATATATATATGTGCATATTTTTCGGTCATTCACCTACGATTTAATACAAAACATAGGATCAATTAAATGAAAATAAGACATAATCTATATTACAATATTTTTTATTCTTTGNTTTCGGTCATTCACCTACGATTTAATACAAAACATATGAACAATTAAATGAAAATAAGACGATAATCTATATTATAATATTTTTTATTTTTTAAGGACAAATTTATAATTTTTATATGTTTCAGAAGATAAAATGTAATTTTACCCGGTAAATAATAAATATCATAATTACTCCTCAAAATTTATCTCTTATTTTAAAATAGTTCTTAAACTTTTAATTATTTCAATTTAAACTCTCAACTATTAGTTTTGTGTCAAAAAAAATTCTCTATTACGTTTCACTCGTCAGAACAAACAGATGCAAAACCATGCCTTAATCATGTGGTCGTCCACGCCAAGTGTGTTCTAACCGATGAAATTGACAAAAAAATAATAATTAAGAGATTAAATTAAAATAATTAAAAATATATGGACTATTTTAAAATAAAAGGCAAAATTTTTGAACAATACTGTAATTAAAATTGGAAAATAGNTTCACTCGTCAGAACAAACAGATGCAAAACCATGCCTTAATCATGTGGTCGTCCACGTCAAGTGTGTTCTAACCGATGAAATTGACAAAAAAATAATAATTAAGAGATTAAATTAAAATAATTAAAAATATAAGGACTATTTTAAAATAAAAGGCAAAATTTTTGAACAATACTGTAATTAAAATTGGAAAATAGATTCAACATGTTGTGAACTGGAAATTATTTCAAGAGATTAATCTGAGAGGAAAATTTCCCAATAATTCTCAGCTTCTGTCGCCCTAAACTACTGCAACTGATCTGCCATTAAAAAAGGACCTCGAGGTTCAGATCTGTTTTTCTATCGAAAAAAGCACCCCCATCGATGGCGAGCACGGCATGTTTTATGATCGTTAGCCGGAATGACATTCCCATCTACGAAGCCGAAGTTGGCACTGCACCTAAAGTATGATTTTCTTCTTCACCTTCTACATTATTGTTAATCGAAAGCTTCCTTCTTGATTTTTCAGTTTTTCCAGATCTAATTCCAGCTGAAATACAGTAATTGAAGTCAAAGAAAAACAAAAGTTGTTTCCTAGGGTTTAATTTTCTCAGTTATCTAATTCAATGCATAGAAGTTTATAATCTATTCAATAACGCGTGTTTCATAATCGCATATGATAGAAGGAAGAAGCTGCACATCAGCACCAGTTCATATTGCATGCTGCTTTGGATATTGTCCAGGACCTTGCATGGACAACAAGTGCTATGTGAGATTCCACCTCCTCACAGCTTCTTCTATTTTTTTTTTCGCTAATCACAGATAGTTTTTCCTTGGACACATTTGTTATTCAGGTTTCTGAAAGCAATTGATAGATTCAATGACTTGGTGGTTTCAGTATATGTGACTGCAGGCCATATCCTACATATATTCCAATTAATTCATTTGTTAACATTTCCATTGACAGAACAAATTCACCAAACTTAAGTTTTATCTTGATTCTTGCAATATTGGATGTGTAATCATAATTTGCTATATCAAAGAAAGAAGTGTTGATTGAGCTTGTTTTGATTGTTTTTCTCTCTATTTTTCTAATTATGCATAAGCATAAATGCTATTCGGTAGAGGGAAATGCTAGTTGATTGAGCTTTTTTTTTCCCCTTACATCGTTGCAGTGCTTAAGTAAGGTTCCTCTGATTCTAAAGGACTTCAAGTAGGTAGTTCTCTTTTGAGAGTTTTGTCTTTGCTTGATGTTGAATTTTAAATAGGATGTTTTGCTTGTATATGACAAAAACTGATTACTGAAAAGTTCGATTTTGGGTTAGGATTTGGTGAAAATTTGTATGAAGACTACAGACAGAATATAGATGTACATATTAACACTTGCATTTATGGAAAGCATTGGACTGAGGTAGATACAGAAGTACATGCAACCTTGATTGCTTTCATCTGTGCACAACCACACAGGCAAAGTTTTATCATATATACTCTCCTAAGCAATTGGTCTGAACCAGCTAAGATTCATACATTCCAAGGAAATACCAAGAAAGGTTAGGATTTCACATGTTATTTAGCTTACGAAGTCTATCCTTCTTTTGTCCCCTTGCTAGAGATATATCCTTTTCATGGATGAGAATTGCTTTGGATTAATGTAGAAATAAAACCATGTACATTTTGTGCTGCTGACTATATCATGATATTATACTATGTTGCAGGAGATATTATATGTTGTGTTAGCCTTTTTTATGTTGCATATGTTTTTGGAATTTTTACTTGAATGTCGTGCTTGCTCAACCTAATCACTTTGTTATGCGCAATGTTATTTACAGTGGTTCTATTTTTGGTATTTTTTACTAATGCCATCTCATTCGTTATAAAAATTGTACTGTAGCAATATTCCTCTGTTTTCCTTAATTTATTGATCCTACATACACGACTGATGCTGCTTCATGACTCTCGTAATGATGATGGTATCAAAAGCTTCTTCCAAGAGGTCCATGAGCTATACATAAAGGTAAAATATTTTTCTGTGTTGTGAGAAAGCAATTTTCTTAATGTTTCCTAATTTTTTTGAGTAGCAAGATCTAGTTCATTTGATATTGCTGCTCAGCTTGGTGTAGATAATGATTTGATTTTGCAAATTATAATGTCATGTTTTCCCCTACCTGGCCAAATTTGTGTTTTGTTTTAAAGCCTTGATGGCTTATATTGAATGTAAATTTTAGATGAACTTTTGCAACACTTTCCATTAAGGGGCTGTAGGAAATTAAATGGGCTGCTTTCTTGAGTTTATTATCTGTTTCTTTATAGAAGATGACATTGGAGGCCAGATATGGTCGATCATACTAAAAGCAAGGAATTTCCAAAACAATAAATGGCTGGAACTAATTTGCGGCAATATGAAAAAAAAAAAAAAAAAGGAGAAAAAGAAAGCCACTTTCTGGAAAATTAGTGGCAGCCCGCAGCTGCACCAAATAATAGTAATACAAAGTAGTTCATATTAGTCAGATCATGTGCAATAAAGATTAGTGACGGCCAAAAAAATTGCTGATTTAGCTAGAAGGCACTATAAAAACCAAAAATATATGTGCATGTGTGAAGAAGAACCTAGTTCGAGGTAGTGACAAAAGGCATTACAAGGATTTGAAGGAGGATATGGCTCGGTATAAAATTGACTGTCAAACAAGGACAAGTTACAGGAGTTTGATATTGTGTTTAAGCGATGACCTTTTTTGGCCATTCTCCAAAAATCTAAACTCTTCTTGCTCTTGTATCCTCCTTTTAGGACTTCTGACGTGTTGGCTTTTGTTTTCAGGTGCCTCTTCGTGCCATCCGAATACTAAACACAACTCTTCTTGCTCCTTAAATGGTTTTTTCGCTGCATTGCTCAACTTTTATAAATTGTTTGGCTTACAAACCATGCATTGTAGGGTTGTAAGAATTATCTGCTTTTAGTATATTTTCTTTGTTGATTTTTAACACCTCTCTCCTTTCCTTCTCTCTCCATGGTGTTTCTTTTGTTTCAGAGGATATTTATTGATAAGGTCATTTCATACTATTGAAATTTGCAGATTCTTCTGAATCCCCTCTATCTACCTGGATCCCGAATTACATCATCTCATTTCGATACAAAAGTTCGAGCCCTTGCTAGAAAATATCTATGAGGCCATCTTCTCATCTGCTAGAGGGAAATGCTTCTCAGAATTGGGTTCTAGGTTGAGACAAGGCTTGTGCTTTGGAATTCTTGTTTGGATACACTTTTGACTTGATCGTCATTATTCAGGTACTTTGCCTCCGATGATTATTGCTAGGGACGTGTGATAACTTCTGCATTTTAATTTAATTCCTTACGTCTTTTTAGTTTTCTATTGCTCTTTAACGGAAGAATATAGTCAAAAGCTACAATATTCTTGTGAAGTTTGCTGTCCACCTAACATTTAGACGGAATCAGCATTGCAATCAATGAGCGAGTTTGTGCTTGGAGCTTGGGAGGTTGATTGAGTGGAGCTTATCGAATTTGAGTATGTTCAAACTTAACTTGGCCAAAGCTTATCGAGTTCAATTTCCCAACAAAAAAATTTAAAAACTAAACCTTGCAACTTAATAATCTATGTTAAGATAATTTTTTCAACAAAAATTCTTAACATCTGTATCACCAAATTTTAAAAATAAACTCCAAAAGTTTAAATTATCTATAAATCTATTAGAGAATATAGTCTAAAAGAAGTGGATACGGAGCTAATTGAGGGTAAGTTTAGGGTGGTTAAACTAATATCCTTGTGTGTGAGGGCTTCTTTGACGCTTCCAGTAGTAATTAAATCTAATTCGTAAAAAGGCATCTCAAATGACCCATGGTTATGCTAGCAGGCCCGATGTGCCTCAAGCATCTGTGGCTTTGAGACTGAAAGCTCCTAGTTCTGAGTTATTAGATAGAAAGCAACATCACAGTATTTAACTCTCTTTGCTGATCAAGAGTAGAGATTGCAGGTTTACCCCTTTGGATAGAAAGGTGGCTTTATACAAGGTTTAGCATTAGCCTGGTACGTGAGTATGAAATATTGCTGTGATCTACTGGGACAGTTGGGTTATTAAAAAAAAAAAAACTAAAGCTTGCAGAGACAGCCATGTGGTGCCGTAACTGCCAGGCATATACGCATGGTGGTATTACGCGAGAGATTTAGATAATTAGTGCTTCGAAACTGTCAGCCAGGACCACCTCTTGGCGTGGATCTCCATCACTATAGCGTGAATCACATTCGAATCAATTGCGTGAGGCAAGGGTATTGAGTTGTGGGCACACAATTGATGTGGTTTTATGAGCATTGAAAAGGGTAAGTCGGTTACGATGCCACGTTATTTATGCATAGAATGGCAGTACTAATTCATTTGGTCCCCGTTTTTATCCCTGTCTAGCATTACTCTATGNTGCCACGTTATTTATGCATAGAATGGCAGTACTAATTCATTTGGTCCCCGTTTTTATTCCTGTCTAGCATTACGCTATATACATATAAGATCCGTAAGTAAATAAAACTCCAATAGTGGATTTCTGGGCGATTAGAACTAGACTTTTTTTTTTTGGTATTACGATCGAGGGTCTTCGAATTAATTTATTTACATTTTGATTAATCTTTTTTCTGGTCCGGTTACTAGGGTCAATCAAAATAGTCATTTGACCTCTTTATTTGATATATTATTGTATATTTCAAAACTTTCTTAATCACGTGTTTTTTAAACTCGTATTTATCACCTAAACTTAAATTTTCACGAGTACACAAACACATCAGGTAAGATGCACAATGCAACAACATGTCGGATAGGGATAGGGACGATCCACGCNGTAAATAAAACTCCAATAGTGGATTTCTGGGCGATTAGAACTAGACTTTTTTTTTTTTGGTATTACGATCGAGGGTCTTGGGATTAATTTATTTATATTTTGATTAATCTTTTTTCTGGTCCGGTTACTATGGTCAATCAAAATAGTCACGACTACACAAACACATCAGGTAAGATGCACAATGCAACAACATGTAGATAGGGACGATCCACATGAACACCCACGTAAGATACCAATAGAAAATAAACTAAACTAGCACTAAACCATGCTAATGGTAATGATAATAAAGTGATTCTTGACGAAGCCAAACGGCCCAAGCCAGGTACAACATGTTACCACGCAAGGAAATGGATTAAGATCGTCTTTGGAATAGATTTGATGGGTTATACGCTCCTCCGTGTTGTAAGAATTTGAGAATCCTCTAATTCTCTTTTGAATGGTCGAAGTTGAATCTATAAATGTGTGTATAGATTATAACAATTCAAAGATAATTTAAGGACCATCTGAAGTTAGAGAAAAGTCAAACCCAAATTACTTCAAGATTTTTACCACTATATCATCCGTCGAAAGCTATAGACTATATATGCTTAAGGACAATATAGATGGTTTTGATGATCCATCCGTAATTGCCTCTTACCTTATTTTAAGAATTCTAGCATTTGGTTGAAGTTGGTTCGATGAGCTAACAAACCTTCAACGAGACAACACATAATATGGGAGAGTGACTAATTTCACATATAAGAAGAGGACCACGAGAATATAAGATATTAATCTTTGTATTATATAATTACAAATCATTATTCGTTTGGTCCGATGAAAAAGATGGATGGATAAAAAGTTAGAACGATGAAAAATTAAAAAAATACATAAAACATAATATTTGGTCAGAAAGAAAAATAAGAAAGATGGAAAAATAAATGAATTAACTTTCATTCTAACTTACTAAAATCAATTCCTTTAAACTTGAGAAGAAAGTGGATGAAAAATTAATTATGTATGTTATTTGTTTATATATTTTTTTGATATAAACATATATCATATTTATCAATTATATATTAATTTTATATATAAATATAATGATAAAATATATATTTATATTTTTAAAAAAATAATATTTTTTTCCATCTTATCAAATACAAAAAAAATCATTCCTCTTTTCATCCCTTTTACCAAATACAAATGAGAGAATGAATTTCTCCCTTAAAGGGCAATAAATGTATAATATCTACTTTCATTTTTTCATCTACCTTTCCATTAAACACAATATTAACGACATGGAGTTAGATAATTTGGATATAGAATCTATTATTACACTAATGAGTACAACTGATATACTAATACCTATTAATAGCAATACAAGAGATGCTGGCATTTTTTTTAGAGATTCCAATTGAGATTTGCTTTGTACATTAAACACATCCTCAAAAACCCAAATTTCAGCCACCGACATCCTACAACTTTAAAAGTATTCCAAAAACAAAAACAAAAACAAAACCACAAGCATGAGCATTAACACACAAGAACAGCTTTTGCAACAAATGTTTGGTTTTGTCTCAAAATTCTTACCGCTCATGCTAATTGAGATGATATTTAATCCCATACGACAACCAGCCAACTACTCCTAACCCTCCTACACCAAACACACACACAGAGATGATTATATAGGCATGACCACCGGAATATCCACATCCCGCGACCCGAAAACAAGAGAACCCTGTAGAGATATATCATGTTCTACGCTTACCGGACTTGGGTCGACGGTGAGTCTTCTCATGTTTTCCAAACGCACTGCAAAACCCGCATGCGGACACCTTCGGAGACGGCGGCTCTATGGCCGGAGATACCTTCCCTGTACGGAACGCGCGTCCTCCGCCGTTGGATCTGCTCCTTTCGATCGATCCAACTGCTCTTGATGAAGGCTTTGCCTCTTCTACGACCTGTTGGTCCTGTTCTGGGCCTTGTTCAGCTTTACTATTGGTTGTATCGTCTTCTTTTCGGTTGTTCGCCAGTTGATTCAATTCACCAGACAATAACTTGTCGTCCCAAATCAAACCTGATGAGCCTTGCCTCCTGAATGATACTGCAGATCTCTGCAACCCTGCCATCAGCTCAACGCCTCCCTCTCTTCTCTCCGTCGAAACCTCTCTCTGTTCTCTCACTATCTCTACCTACCTCTATATCTCTCTCTAGATCTTTCTTTGAGAAGTGTGAACTATGAAAGCCTTTGGATTGCTGTCTAGACTTTTTCCTAGTGGGGGTTTGTGGGCTTGGGTCTATATGTATGTGTGGGGAGAGAGAGAGAGAGAGAGAGAGAGATCTGACGGAGTTGGTTAGGAAAAGAGGTCATGGTATCGGAATTCAGTCAACAGATTTTATTTTAATATTATCTGTTTATTTGTTTTTTTTCTGTTAAAATAATAACGATCGTGATTTAAGGAAGGTGCAGGGGGACAGCAATTTGTTTGATTTCAATACAAAACTATTCTACCATTCAGCCGCTAAGTAACAACCAAAAATAAAAACAGCCAAGGATTATCATTATTTGAGGTTAACTGTTGATTTAAGGGAGAATTACACCTACATTCTTTAAGTTTCTTACTTAATTATTTTGACTCTGTAATATTTAAAATATTATACACAAATTTTTTTAAATTTATACACGTTTAACACTTAAATTCCTATCGTCAATATCCTTAATCGTTAGTAAATTGCACTCAGACTTTCTAAAATTTATATGTGTGTAATATTTAGACTTTTCAAATTTAAAATATTATAGTTAGATAAAAAATACTCCAATCAAATATTAAATATCAAATATTTTAAATTTTATAACCAAAATTCATATTCTATTATGTCAAATATTTACTCAAGAATTTGATTCATTTTAGTTATTAAATTAATTTTAAGTTCAAAGGGGGATGAATTCCACTTTTAATTTTAATAATTATAATTAATTAGATCTCTAAATTAAACTGTATCCTCATACATTTTTGCTTTCTAAACTAAATTCTAAATTATTCCGACTTGTGAATTAAATTATACAAATTGGCTTTTTTCTTTTACAAAGTGACAAGCAAGGTATACCTTTGTGCTCGTAAGCTTATCAATGAATCATATTTTGATTTAAATTCGATTACTTAAATATAAATTAATATTTTTTATTGATAATTCGATCTCGAATATTTTATATTTTCACGGATTATAATTTAGATATACATATATCAAATCCGATTTATGATTTGAATTATATATATATTTTTATATAACTATTAAAAAAAGTCATTGATTATTTAAAGAAATTTAGGTTTAATTTGTTAAAATTTATTTAATTAAATTATACAAATTTTGGACAGGGGTTCGAATTTTTGAATATGAATTATAAAAATAAAAATCGTTGAATTATCGAATTAAAATTTTAAAATGAAATTAATTATAACCCAATTTAAATCCAAACCATTCACAAGCCTAAGTGTCATGTACATTGCATGGAACACGATCATCGTGGTGTATCACCATCCATCCCAAAAATGGGATGGCTATGTCCCAATCAACACTGCGTAGAATAATTGAATGTGTTTTTTCTTTAAAGCATCAAACATGGAGACTTATTATGTAGTAATAAATTTCATGATCAAGGAGGGGCCCAATGAAATGGACTTAGTACCACTTTTGAATAATTGGGTTCAAGACTTTCCTATCCCTTCATTATTTGAGCTTTTGAATATGGTGATCAATATCAATAATAAGTCTATAAGCATGATTGAGCACCGATTGTTTGTTGTCAATTTTATCATCATTACATAATCAACATCATCATAAAAGCCCACATATATAAACTGATCAACACAAAGTCACGTCACTCTAAAATTTTTTAGCTAAATCTCGACTTCAATTTAACTTCAAAATATTGATTTAAAATTCATTTGTAAAATTTTAAACTAAGACTATATTTGACCGTCTCAAAATCCAATTTAATTCAAATTCAGTTATACAGAAATCGAGCTAGAATTCTCATTGAAATTCGAATTCAATTTGATTGAATCTAGGTATGATTCTCAATTTAGACACTTAAAGTTCAATCAGGTTGAATTTAGTGTCCAACTTAATTAGAACTCTTTAATTTAAATTGAGTATGAGTTAGATTAGAAAAATTGAGATCTCATATTGACTATTGCCTAAATTTCAATCCAATTAAGATATTTTCGTTCCATCGCAACTGCTGTACTGAAAATATTTTCAACTACTGAAGTTTTTCAATTGGGTTAGAGTTATATATAAGTTAATAAAATAGAAGATATACACTTATTATATATACGCGCGCGTGTGTGTTTATTATACAAGAAATGGATAATATTTGAGATTGACAGGGTTAATCAGGTAAAATAACAAGCTATGTTACCTCCATCTACCGATAAACTCTTATAGAGGGTGTAAGTGAAATTCCAGGTAATATAAGGGGTGTGCTTGAAGATAAGGCATTCTAAAGGGGTGTGCCTGAAAAGTGTTCTCCGTTCAAGTCTGACCAGTAGATAAAGACGATGCCGTTTTGCGGACATCAAAATTCGTTTCCAACTTTTACCGCGTAATTTTTCACTCGCATACCGAAACTGCCGCTTCTTTTCCGCCCGTCGGATCCTCGGTTCGCTGCGTCTTTTGCATCTCTATTGTCCAACAAGTTTGAAGGTACTTCTACCTATCTACCTATCTTTCCTCTCTTTCAGATTTTATGTTTGTGCAATCCATTACTGGCTTTGTGTATATTCAATTGATGTACTCTATGTTTTTTTTTTTTCTTGGTTATTAATCAAATGCTCATATAGAGACGTTGACTTTGGCATCTTGGAATTTACTCTCTCGTTAATTCAATGCGATTTTTGGTTTTCTGACCAGAGCTCATATCAGAGTAATTCAATCTGGTATTAGAGATGATCATCATCCCCGGCATTGGGTCTTTTTTTTTTGATATGATAGGAGTCATAATAAGCTACTAATCTTTTCCATTTTCTTTGCTTCTGTTCATACAATTACTTTTGGCTTCAAACCCTTCGTTGGTTGGTTCATTCTTTCTATATGCCTTTTTCTTTTTGGGACTGACCATTCGATCAACCATTGAGCTATTATAGATGTGATGTTTAGTTTTTGAATTTCATTTGGCGTGTGTATAATATAAGCCAAGCCAAGATTCAAGATCCCAAGAAATAGGCAGCTTACGGGTGATTTTTGGGTATTCTTGTCAAGTCTCTATCAATTTCATTAACTTTCTCAATTNTCGGGGCCGAGGATGCCATGCCCTTCTATACCAAGGCCATCATAGAGGGTGGAATTAGGTTTCCTTTACCCCCCCTGCTTCTTCAGTTCCTTTCTCGCTTTCGCCTCTTCCCCGGGCAATGCTGCCTTAATGTCTTCCGAATAATCATGGGGGTCAGAGAGCTCAATAGGCGCCTCGGGGTAAATATTGGGCTCAATGATCTCCTTTTCAGTTATTCCCTTCTTAGAGTCATGCCTCACCAACACTTCTACCTCAAAGCCAGGGACCCCTCCATGTACCTTGTAACCCATCTTCCTGACTCGGACAAGGGGTACAAGGACGACATCTTAATCTTCAAGGGATCTTGGCAGAGGGGTGTTGGTCCCGAGTACAATGACTTATTATGCCCTCTGGAATGCAGAACGACAAGTACGTCGGTTCCTTTGGGTTTCTTATTTGTTTCTCTGGACTTCCCATATTCATGACAACTTTTTTGTTTGTGCAGATATTCCTGCTCGGAAAACAGCTCCTCCTCCTCAGTCGCTGGTGAACTTTGCCGACCTAATCACGGTTTGGAGTTTCACGGGTGACAACGGGTT